CTGAGGTCATTTTGGCTTTCCGATTCTGCACAAAATTTAGCTTTTCATAGGTAAATAAAACATATTTCAAATTTTTATGTAAAGCACACCCGCAAAAACACAATTTGCAAATTGCAGAAGGATGCAATTAAAGTGTAAATGAAATAAATAAAACTGGTTCTGCAACTACTTATAGAAGCATGGAAATTAAATGCCTTGATACATCAAGTCACAGATAATAGAACTAAGTTATAAAGTTCTGTATACCAAATGCATCACACCTGTATAAATATTTATGCATCATCACAAATTAATAACCATATGGAGAAAACATAAATATCCTTTATGGAAAAACATTACATTATTTTAGAAGAAATATATTACATTATATGTACCAGCCCATATTGGTTATATATTTGTTACATATTTGTTATGTGCTATATTTAATGAAAGAAACTCCAGCAGATAGCTGATAAATGGATTCATAATATTAGCTATCTTCTGGACCATCAGATAGCTACTGCAGTGGCAGTGCAGTAAAATCATGGCTACTGTTAATGCCTCAAGTCAGTACAAAGGATGGTGTTTGTCTTGGGTGATGTTGGTGCACCAGCAAAGCCAACCAAGGTGAGCCAGCTACCATTCTATTCCACCCAGTTTCTTCTCACTATTGGTTCACCTCCTCCTCATTGGAGCTGGTACAATCATTTCTGTCATTGCTGGAGTGAAATGGTCAGGGAGCAAAGTCTCATAAACCAACCAACCAACCAACCAACCTGACAGCAATACAACTTCAAGGTATTCATACTCTTCCTGTCATCTGCCTTTTGCTTTTCCTTCTGTGTTTCTGGCAGCTTTCTGTGGGACCAGTCAAACCATCAGTAATTGATACAGCTTAGAAAAGTTATGAGTTTCTTTCTTTATTAAATCAGACTAGCTATATGATGTAGTTTGCTCTGAACAGTTCCTACACTCCCATTTTGGCAACAGAGATGAACTGAAGCCAGGGTTACAAGAAATAATGAGGCTGTCGGTTGTCTCAACTAGTATTGCCACTAAGAAGAGAACATGGGGAACTGAACCCTGTGAGTAAAAATGAAGTAAAAATGCATGTGTAATTGCTAAAATTAATTCATTCCAGTACCAGGCTGGCTCACTCTCAAATATGCTGGCTCCTACTGTGCATTTCCAAGTCGAAGTAACCTGCTAATTGAGATACGACAATCAGACAGGAAAAATATGGAATGATGTCAGATATATCAAGCCACAGGCAACCAGGAGAATTTAAATGCAATGTCTGAAATTAGTATTATCTGACAAGGACCTGTCTGGACTGGTATGTGACCCTGTAAGGCTGAGCTTGATCCATTCGCCATAAACTTCATCCACATAAGGACTTGACAAAAACTCCTTTAAATAAAGCACTGCAGCCACCTAGCCTTGAAAAGATGCAAGTGTTCAGGAACATTCTGATCACAAACTTGAGTTAAGCAAAATCCTTCCATGTACTTGTAGATACTTCAGAAGCCAGTAAGAGGTGGATCTGTTGAAGCCAATAAGAGTAACAAACTGAATTAAGTAACAGAACAACCAGAAGTCACTAAAAGGCAACAGTGATCCATCAGTGAGTCCGTCTCTCGAGTTCATCTTCACAAAGCTGCAGGACCGTAATTTTTTCTTGGCTCATAATCAATGCTTGCTAATGCTATGTTCTCTGGTTCTGCCTAACACTGATGAGATAAGGAACAAAAGGATCAATGCTCTCATTGTGTTTACTGGGAAACCAGTAATCAGGACACAGGACTCAATTCCCTGAATCCTAATTATACATGAATTTGTTCAAGTATCTATTTAGACTGCCGTAAATTATGAACAAACAGCAACAAATAGATGAGAAGAGGAAAGGGTCAGTGGCAGAAAACATGGACAGGATCAAATATAAACCTAGGCTGCTGCTGTATAAGGGCACTTCTAATTTTCCTCTGCCGTTGACTGCTGTGTCATTTCCAGACCACAAATCATGTAGCAAACCTCACCTGCCTCTTCTCAAAAATTCTCAAGTTGGGCACCTGTTATGAAAAAAAGACTCTTATTTCACTGAGATTACCTGCCCATCTGGACTCATACTCTGATTCCTGATCTTCTGAATAGTAAAGACAGCAAAGAAACCTTAGAACTACCACACAGCAAAACAAGATGATAACGACATTCCTGTTCTCTCTTCTCTTAAGGGAATTTTCAGTAGGTCAATCAGAATTTTGATGTTAGTTAACTACCAAAATTAATTTGATTTTCCATTTAGCTACAGAACTAGCTGAGAAAGAAAAAAGAACACAGCATATAATCAAAACCAGGATGAAAAATGGAAAAGATTCAAACAATGGTCACAAATGTACTTTTTATTTTCCAGGTGCAAAATAGCTTTAGAAATTTCTCTTTTAAGAGGTGTGAAAGGATTAAAAGGAGATCTAGTGTGGCAGCCTATGACACACGTATATTGTGTGAGTTACAGTATTTTTCTCTGATGTGTTTGGTGCTGTCCAGTGATGAGAACAGGCTACTAGTGTACATGAGCTCAGCTGGATAGTCTGTGTTCTTGTAATGGACTGTTTTGTTAAAGAGCTACTTGACAACCGATATATTTGTTATTTTTAAATTCCCTGGAAAAATTCGGAGTCCTAGCTCATGAAAAATGCATCCCTTTTGAAACGCTACCTAAACTGAATATATACACATTCGTTTTTTAATAATCACACTTACAGATACTTTATATGGAAAAAAAATCCAAGTTCTTGATTATTGATATTTAATATCAGCAAGGTCACATTGGTAAAATACCAAATTAGTAAAAAAAAAAAAGTTTTCCATCTCAGTTCTTCTGCTTGTTACAGTCTAAGAAAGACTCTTCTAAATAAAAATCTTGTACTTCTGATTCTTCTTTATACATGAAAAGAACAGCCTTGTGCCATCCTCAGTGATAGGAAGTGACAGGCAGAGCATGACATCACTCTTTGTTTTTAACTGACTGCCTTCTGGTGAATTTATTTTGCTGTCAGTAAATATTATGGCAGTGTTAATCACATTCAGCCTTTAAGGAGACAGAAGCCTTGTGCTGAGTATGATCCCAGAAGTTGGCAGTTCTTAGCTTTTGAAGGGAGAATCATTTTTTCCAAATTTGGCACAATGGCTGATCCACAGTCAGATCAATAAGAATGTCTCAGAGAAATGCTAAAGTACACATCAAAGGTCTACAACCTCCAAAGGCATCCATGTGGATTCTTCCATTGTAGCCACACCAGACAGACTCAACACTTACAAAAGTATCAAATCCTGTAGTCAAAACCACAGGTTTAGCCTGCAAGTAATTGATATTTAAGGAAACTAGTCACCAGTCTGACTTCAGCAGCTTTTAACAGCTTCCATGTTCTTCTTATGACTATATTACTTGTCTTCTTAGTATCATTACACATGTGATGTCCAAAATAAGATAGGGTCAGTAAGTTTATTACCAGAGAACAAAGACATGTTTCTGTCCTCCTACAGACAGTGAGAGTCTTTAAAATAAAGAAGTGGAGAAACTGCACCATCATGATGCCCAAAGCAAGCAGAGATCCAGCACGGACCATGGTCATACTACCTTGTCTCCATTGTCTTTCTAGATCTAGCTGGTTTTCCTCATCCACCAACTCGTCTTTTGGCTCCCCTTCAAGGAAAACACTGTCATTTATTAATCCAGTATTCAAGCATGCTGTAGCTTTAATAAATATCACATCACAATCGCTATTACTAAGTAGTACTACTAGTAGAAGACCAAAATCTGAAAACACAAGTTTTGCATGCCCACAATAATAAGAACAACTAGATGCAAAGGCAGAAAATAGGTGATTTCCACCTAAAAAAAAAAGAGTACAGCGAGAAGTCTGGTCTTCTCTCTGTCCTTCACTAACACTCCTGCTCCAAATCACTTTACTCAGGCAACTATTACCATGCTTTAAGTCTGCAAACAGCATATACACAACTTAAAGGAATTACTTGTTGACTAAATCACACACCAGCTGGAATTAGTAAGACACTAATCTCTTTTGGTAAGAGACCCTGTGAGTCCTGGTTGAAACAAGTAGTCAACCATCAGGCTCTACTGTTTCTTGCATCAGGATAAAAGTCCTTAATGTTGCTCTTTCTGCTTTCCTTTCTCTGAGGATTCTGTATCTTTTCATGCTTTGCTTCTTGAATCTATAAACTGCTGATTCCACAGCAACAATTTTGATTCTGTCTACAATTTTACCTTTCTTATCTTACATTGCTCAAGGCTTTCTCAGTACTTCCTCTCAAGTCTTTCTCGCAATTTTTGCAGAAGTCAGAAGAAAGGTTAGTTGGTTGGGCTGAAAAAGAGGGTCTACACCCTGATGGCATTGTGTAGCCTACAAAATCCGATTTCCATGTGGAGTAGGTCTTCTAGACGACATCTTGTAAAATTAATTTTCTGTTACTGAATAGACCAGTGAGATGCTTATAAGGAAACGCTACACATTAACGTGAGTGTAAGGCAGAACATCCCTAAATACTTCCACGTTATCATTATCCAAGTAAAGACTTGAAAATATTAAAAAAGCGGGTGCGACATGTTATGTACACCGAGATGCCTTAGTGCGGTTACGAGCCGAGCCGCAGCACTGCGCTGCCCCACCGAGCGCATCTCCACCCATTAACAAAGGGCGACAAGCCACGACATCACGAGCTCATGCGCCACCCGGCAACTCCTACTCCCGCCGCCGCGGCTGAGAAGGAAACTGTGCCAGCCCGCGGCTTTGGGAGCATTCCCTATGGGACCCGCCCGACCCCGCCTCCCCGGGGGCTCCGGACACACACGCCTTTAGAAAAGCCACGGCAGCACCAACGCCGCCCCGGGCCAGCGTCCGCCGGAGCGCCATGAAATAAAAAAGCGAATCGTCTTGTGCCTAGTTTTCGTTTGTCTCTTTGCCCGGGGTAATCGGCTTTTTCTTCCGGTGCATTATTCTCTTCCGGTGCATTCGCCGCTGCAGGCGCGCCGCGGGTGGCGGCGATGGGCGGGCGGGTGACCCGCGTTTTCCGGACCTTCAACGTGGAGAACCGGGCCCGCCGCGAGATCAGCAAGGAGAAGCCCACGCCCGCGCCGCGGCACCACACCGCCCGCATGGACGCCACGGCCGGTGCGTGCCGGCCTCGCCGGGCGGGGGGGCTGCCGGCGGGGAGCGGTGTCTGTGGGCCCGGCGCGGGGCCGTGGCGCGGGCGGAGGAGGGGAGGCCGGGTGCGGGGGGCGCGGGCGAGGAGCGGGCGGCGCGGGGCGGTGGCTCCGCGGCGGGGCCGGTGACATTGAGAGCGGAGAGCGCGCGGGGCATGCCGGGAGCCGCCGCGGCGGCGGCGGGTGCCGGGGGCGGTTATGGGGCGGTTGCTGGGGGTGGTTCATGGGGCAATACGTGGGGGGGCATCTGATGGAAGCGGTTGCTGGAGGTGGTTGCTGAGGGCAGTTGCTGAGGCCGGTTGATGAGGGCCGTTGCTGGGGGCAGTTACATGAGGGTGATTGCTGGGGCAGTTGCTGGGAACAGTTGATAAGGGCTGTCGCTAGGGGCAGTTGCTGGGGTGGTACTGCAGATCTGTACCCAGCTTCCCACAAGCGTGTGCTTCCCACAAGCGTGTGCTTCCCACTGTGCTGTGGCAGGTGACCGGGCGGCACTGCCCTGTGAAGCAGCATTGTTGAAGCCAGAGCTGTGGGGAGAATGACAACTTGCCAAGAAGGCCTGTACTTTTGGAGGAGCCATGCCGTGCCTTCTGGGGAAGCAGCGAGCTGGCAGAACTAACAAAAAGGAAACAATTTGACTCAAATCTGTCTTTTCTCCTTTTTTTCTCCCCGTTCCCTTCTTCACCTCACTGCCTTTAGATCACCCAGAGATAAAAGAAGAAATTTTAAGAAAGGATGATAGGCTTCTCACATTGCTAAAAGATGTTTATGTCGAGTCCAGAGATCCACCAGTACAGGTGAGTATGTCTCTTTGTAGGAGCCATACCAGCATCAGCTTTGGGGTCATCAAACTCAGCGCAAATTTTGTGTAAAGAAAAATGCTCTGTCAGTGCCTAAAAACTACCTTATTTTAGTATATAAAAGTGGTGTTTTTATTACCCTTCTGTACATCAGTAGCACTGACTGTGTCTGACCCTGTGTTTTGAATATGTGATGGACTGTGATTATACAAGTTTTTAAATGCTTACAGTCTTTCTTTTTAACGTTGTGTTGATCCTATTTTGTTTTTTACTTAAATTCTCACGTGGGCAATTGTCCAGCCTTTTGCAAAGACACAAGAATTTGCCAGAGATTGCTTGTGGTGTTGCAAGAAGAGATTGGGACTGCTGTGGCAGTGATGTGATAGAGAACAAAGATGTTAACGTTTTAATGGAGTCTTTAACTACTGATGTTCATGTCATATAGCGCGGAGACTTTTTCTTATCTGGCTGTCAAAGTGTCTCAGGTTGTATGATTATCAGTTTCCTTATTGCCAGGCTGCAGTCTTTGACTTGGGAAGGCAAAGCATACTCCTTCTCATTCAGTAAAATGCAGACTGGGGTTCAGTCTCCTGCTTTCCATCATGTTATGTTATGGCTTGTGCATTTTACCTGTTGCATTATTGGACCACTTTATTCCAGCTACTTTATTCAATAATAAAATTTTTATAATAATTTTTAGAATCAGCAAAATTCCCAAGTTTCTCTAATTTGCCACTTACATGGTATTCAAGTCTAAAAATATTTAAAATGCAAACAAATTTCTTCAGTCTCTCCCTGAAGTTTCCATTTAATCTCTATCCTTAATTTTCATCATAGAGGATAGTACTTTAATCTTCAAGTGCTGAAGGTCTAATTTCAGTATCTTTCAGTAAGCCTGTCAAGAGACATTTGAGAAAAAGCCAAAAGTGGAACAAATCTCTCCTTAATTCTGAGGTTGCTGTCACATAAGACTTGCTTGTTTGTGTCTGCTTGTAGTTGTTAGGAAGAACAGAGACCTATGGGCAAAACTTAATCCAAGCGCTTCCTTCCATTCCTGATGTCACACTGACAACTTTGTGCATTGTGTATATTATGTGTACCTACCTCTATGTATGTTTGGTATGTCTGTCTGCGGTAGGTGGAAAAGCACCAGCTCTGGAGTCCTGAAGTGGCAGGTGCCCAGAGACAGATCATATAATCAAGACTTGAAAAATCATTCATTATCTGGGCACAATTTTAGCACAAAGTAGAAGGAATACATGGAGGACAGATCAGACATTCTCTGTAGTTTAGAAACAGACACACAGATGTTGTAGCATCCACATCAGTTTTCTCAGCATGTGAGTTAATACAGAGTGTTTGTGCACCAGTCAGTGGCTGTGGACTCTGATTACTTTAAAAGTACTTTTTCTTAAATGTAAGAAAGATTTAATTGTGTCCTTTTTTGTGTGTGTGTGTGTCATTCACTAGTAAAATCTTAATAAAAGCAATATGAGGAAACCAAAACTGGTTTGGAAATTACTTGAAAATATGAAGGGATCTTGGAGAAGAGACTTTGTGTGTCTTTATGCTTCAGTAGTCATGGCAATGAAACTCTATATGATGCTGCAAAATAGTTTCTTTTTGTCCAGGAAAGCTTGTTCTCTAGACAGAGCAAAGGAAGGAATATTTTTAGTAGCAAAACTAAAATTTGAATATGAAAGGAAGGGGAGAGAGACTACATAAAAAAGTTTTCCAGTAGTATCAGAAGGATACCAATTTGTTGTATGATTTTATTTTTTTTGTCCCTTGCAGTGAATCAGTACCAAGTATTAGGTTATCTGCGTTTACATTTGGCTACCAAAATTTGTATGAAGGGCTGCCAAGTTTGTACAACATGTAGAGTCCAATGGATGGGATGCTTTTCAGCATTTGGTTGGGAGTTGACATGTAGGCAGTTGTATGTGGAATGGCTGTGGAAGAAATTACAAGCAGCAAGGCTGGCTAAATTATTTTTTTTGTGAAAATGAAGAAAGCTTACAGGAAATACCATATTTAGGAAAACAGCTTTGCTACAGTATGCATAGTAAACAGAACTGCTGTTAACTTCTTTTTGTTTTCCTTCCCACAATTAGGTAAAAGATGGAGGTGGAAAACATCTTCCGTGTAAACAGGAGGAAAAGAGACTTACAAAACTAGGCCATTTGGGAGCTCTAGATGTTAAGAAAGTTTCCAAAGGCAAAATTTCCATTGTGGAGGCTCTGACACTTCTTAATAACCATAAACTTCATCCTCAAATATGGACTGCAGAGAAAATAGCAGCAGAATACAGTCTGGAACTGAAGGATGTCAACTCTCTTCTGGAATTCTTCATTCCTTTCACCGTGCAGGAATTTCCTAAAGAAACCAAAAAAGCTATAAAGTCAACATAAAAATACTTGCCAAAACCTGGTGTGATCTCACTTGCGTCTTAATTTTACTCTTAAGTATATTCAGTGTCTGAAAGTTCAAAGTCAGTAACATGTTGTGCATTGGTGCCGCGTCCTTATACCAGTGAGATGTATTCAAGCAATTCCATTCTGTATTGGATGTCTTCAACGAAATGCAGCAATTACAGTATGTAAACCAGAATATGACCAGTAAGTGGTATGAGAGCATGTCACACAGTTCTGATTATCCCATTCAAACATTACAAGTTCAGTTAAAGTACTTTAACATTGAAAGATTGCCTTTCTTAGCAGAGACTTCCTGGCCTGCAGCTAAACAGGTGCTCTGCAGGTGTTAGCTCTGTAGTTTCACGTTGCTGTGTTCTTTCAAGGATTTGTTGCCAAGGTGTGTGTATATGCAAACAGCTGTCTTTCTTTTGTATAAGAATGGAATAGTAGTTATACTTTGTAAAGAAGGTTAACCACAAGATTTGGGAAATTCAGCTGTGTCAACTATAAAATAAAAAAGTGAATAGCAAGAAAGCCTCTTTCTGGTGCTGGAACAGTAATGGCTGATACATAGCTCCTTTTCTACTCTATTCTGATTTAGCTTAAATATCTGCACCTTCCTAGGTGCTGTCAGCCAGGGAATTTGTAAAGAGTGATGATCTTCTAGCACCTGCCATGGTCTCAGCAGTCCATGGCATCTGCTGTATGAGAAATAATGCTTCATGTTAATAGGTAGCTGTGCAATTCAACCGGATCTACTAATTGGACCCACTGGTAGGTCTTTTGTGAATATGTGCCCATCCTGTTACAACAACCCTTTTTTTTCCCACGGAAGCATTGTCTAACTGACCCAATGTGGGCTAGATCAGGTCATGTCTACTCACAGCAAGTTACCCACATACTACCAGACTGAGGATGAACAGCATCCTTTCCAATTGTTCGTAAAGGATGACACAAACTGTGAGGTGGTAGCCGTGGATTGTAGTCTTCTTGATACTGTGACTGTTCAGGTCTGTGTCAGTAAGAAGTTTTGCACTTACTGTAGTGAAAAGTGGTTTATGTTTTCCAGATAAGCTGGGGCAGATAATCAGAACTGATATTTAAAAATGCATTATGGCTGCCTTCATTCAAAACCCAAAAACTTAATTTTATGTGGCACTAATATTTCTAGAGCCCATCACCAAAGAAGGTGAATTTATTAAAAGGGTGTAAGTCAGTACCAGGCCTACAATGTAACTTTCTTTTCAAGAACTTTTTTGCCTGGTCTTAGATTTGGAGTCTGATAAACACTTTAGCAAGAAGATGATCAGCTTTATTATTTCACAGCAAGATTCTTTCCACTTCTCTCTCAGAGTTGGAACACAGTATTTACAGTACAGTTTGCCACAGTGTATTCAGGGTTTTGCTTGATTCACTTCTGAAGTACATAACACTGTACCATAGTGGAAGATGACACCAAGTGCATTGTATAAGAATTCAAAATTGTTAGTCTTTGGATGTGTGGGGATAGGGTTGTCATTTGTCCTGTAATATAAAATGGGGTACAGAGCTGCACTCTGAAACTAAGGTACCTGGGTTATGTACAACACTAAGATTTCTTTGCTTTGCACAAAATACTCTTATTTTATAGAATGTTTTAATAGAAATACTTCATTGTTTGAATCCTGTTCGTCCTAATGTAATAGTTAAGTAATATCTAGAAAACAACTATGGAATGCATTTGGTGCAGATATTGTTGCTGTTATTATTGGACATGCTGCGATTTCCTTCTTTAAAAATGAATCTTTTAATTATGGATTGTAGTCAATTAAAAATACACCAGAACTGGCACCAGACAGCAGTTTAACCATGCCCCCCTGATCACTGTGATATGTATTTTGGCATCTTCTGTCTGCCTTTGTGAAAAGTCTTGTAATGTGTCAGCACCGTGACAGTGTCCTGTTTCATGTTGAAAGTCCCCAGAGGCATTATACTACTGCACTGCTTACACCCTCAATAGGCATGTGCTTTGGGACATTTGATGCTCATCATGTTCAGTGCTCCAGCCATACCTTCAGGACAAAATCCTGTCCACAAATGTGGTGACTGCAAAGCTATTCCCTGTTTCTCTGGAGCCAAGATCTCTTCCTCAGAATGTATCATCCGCAGTGGGGAAGCAGAGGTCACAGCAGAGTTGGTCTAGGGATCCATCTCCCTGGAAGCAGGTAAACTTGTGGCCCAGAAGGCTCCTCTGGAGCAGGGAACTTCTTTGGCAAAGGGCGCTCACTCCAGGAAAATTAGATGCAATGCAGTTTGTCAGCACACAGATTCTTCTGCTGGTCCCCTGCCCCACCTGCTGGGCAGCATCAAACCAGCACTTCAAAGGTATTGCTGATTGTACAGGATCATGTAAAATCTGTACCATTATTTATCCAAATTATCTACAGTCTGAGTGTTTAGCTTTCACTGTGTCTTCAGACATGGAGCATTTTAGTTGTCTGAAGATTACAAGGAGAGCCAGAAGCATGGATCTTTACTCCGGTGGGAAAGCTTGTCCCTGATCAAGCACTGTCACTGCTACCATCTTGTCCTGTGTCAGCTTATTGACCACAGTAGGTGTGTGTGCTTAACACACCAGCGTTCCAGTGAGTATGTGTTTGAAGATAATGCTGTCTTTAGGGTTGATGTCTGGGATAAGACTACTCTTACTGTTATGTCTTTTCTGGAACTACTTAGTTCCTTTTTTCCAGTTTCAAGGGAGTCTTTACCCATCAGTTATCTTGCCTGCTTACTAGTTTCTAATTGGAAGAATAATGGTATTTTCTTTACCCTTCAGACTTGGTTTTGTCTGTGTTCCTTTCTGTCTATATCCCTTTCCTATAGCTGTTTGGCTGTCAGCTTAAAGAGAAGGTATTCTTCAAGCAACTGTTTTGAAGAGGCAATTATGGGGAATTTGTGGGAACTCACAATTCAGTTTTCTGGTACTCATGTGAAGAATTTTTCATGTCTTCTTGCCATGCATGCAGTGCATTAAAATGTAGCTTAGGTGTTTTTGGCCACCATGTAGGATCATTACCTTTGGTAAGGAACAACCTGTCTCACTCAAACTGCTTTTTTCTTGTGGAATTAATGTAAAATGTATATTAAGTAGGAGCTTTGTGAGCCTGTAAGGGATTTGTTTCATTTCTTGTGTAAATGGCACATGGTTGACGAACTTCTTATATGTGGCATTATTATACCAGTTCTCCAAATGTCACTGAATAAATTCCAGGCTGCCTTGGGCACTGATACAGAGTGAACACACAGGGGCAGGCTGAGCCTTATTGGAAAATGAGGGTTACATTCCTGGTGAGAAATAAAATTTAATTTCTTCAGGGGAGTTCCAGCAGGTATACTGGAATTCCTGACTTGATTTTTTTTATTTTTTAAAAAGATTCTTTAGGGGGAGTCTAGTAGCTCACTTACCCATATTTTCTTGGACATAATCCCATTTCTCCAGCTTTGTTCTATCACTAAGTCTATTCCCAGCCTTCTCCAGCCAGTCTTCTCTGCTATGAAAACTTGTCACAGTTGCACCCTTCCTCTGTACTAGCTCACATGCAAATGTTGGTTGTATTCTGCCCTTTCAGTATCAACAACCTATTTTATTACTGCAGAGCTCTCTTGCCTTCTAGGAGTAGCACACCTGCTGAGGTAAAGATGAGAGGACTGAGCACATGTTTTGCTCTGCAGAATTTATGAATAGGACAGGTTTTCAAAAGGAATGTAGCTTTTACATCTTCAAAAGCTGCTCTTTTGGGATATGAGAACCTAAGTCATCTTTTTCTGTCTCACTGTATATGTATTAATCATAGCTTGGTTGTTGCAGTCTGATGGCAAGATAGCAAGATTGGAACTGTGAGGCAGGAAAGAGTTCTAACTCTGCTTTCCATGCAGGTTAGTCAGAGGGACCTTCAGTACAAAAAGTGATCTTTCTGTAGCCTTTCAGCACAGGGAACTTCTCTTTTAAGCTGCCTCTTTTTACTCAAGGAGAAAAGAAAATCATGTTTATATGTGAGAGGTGTGTATTGAACTTACAAAATGGAATTTCTTACTTATGTATTGAAAAATGGAGTCAAAGCTCAAGTAGTCATAAAACAGGATCAAAATGCAAAAGATAAAAAAGGTGACTGTCTCACCTTGTTCCATGTGAGCATCATGCTTGCATGTTTGAGATTGCATGAAGCTTCATGTTTCACAGCTCTGTTCTGCAGCCCCTTTTTAAACAGGACTTTTCTGGTTCTTAATTAAGTGGTACTGGTGTTGAGCTGACAGGGGAGGCCTGACCAGAGCAAGTGAGCTTCAGGTGCAAACAGGTTTTGGCATTTGAGACTGTGGCAGTTGTACACCAATATGGTATTAGCAATCAAAACAGCCTGTCAGTGCTGTTATTAAATCTGTTTCTAGCAATCTACAAGTCTAATGAATTCTGTAACCTTTCACAGTTTAGGTACTGTTGGGTTGTTATCAGAGCTAAGTGTTTTCTGCTGAAAAAGACTGATAAATCCCATGGATTAAATTCTCTTGAAAACTTAACATAAGTTTTCTTGGTCTGAAACAGAGACTGAGATTTGCACAGCAGCAGTGTTGCAACTAATGTTGCATTACCCTGGAGGGAAGCAACTGGCAGGACAGACCCCATAATCATCTCCTATAAGGATTCCTTGCATTGGAATGGAAAATGCATGGTGTCTTGTAGGAGCGAGGCCACTATTTTTAGTAAGCTGAGGGAAGTGATGGTGTGACTGAATGAATTTCTACTTTTGAAATAGTCATTCAGCAGCACCCGCACCTGCGAGCTGGGATCATGCAGGGACTGAGGGATCCCAATGATGATGAGCTGCACATGGTGCTGGTGAAAGCTAGATTCAGTCCTGCCAAGGGCCAATGTAACTGGAAGCCTGAATGTAAAGTCACAGCTGGGAGCTCTGGTTACACAGAGATTGGGGCTCTGGAGAAAGGACAACAGACAGTGCTGGCAACCTGGGTGCAACTGGGA